GCTGTCCACTTTTGATTGTACAGATTTGCTACAGTGAGAAAGAGAGCAAAAGCCAGAAATGTGAATAAATATGACACAGACCTAAATAACACTGATACATACAAGACTTTATTATTATTTCTTTAAGTTATTTTTTATTTCCCTATTGCCGTGATATTCATTTATCACCTATCACTGTAATATTTTAAAATATTATTTAAAATATCCTTATTTATGATTTTATGTGCTGAAACATGTACTGCGGCACATGCTTTAAAATGTAATTGAAATCAAGATGTGATACATCTGTTATCTATATCTACTAAGATATAACGCTATACAGTAGCTTCAGTTATAGATTTAATTCAAAAATTATTGAATGTACTTTTAGGCCATCAATCTACACACAATGAACCATAATCCAAAAGCAAAAACAGGTTCAAAAATTCTTTTCAAATAAAAAAAAAAAATTATCTAATTTACATAAGATTACAGAGCCTTTATTCAGAACTTTGTGAAAGCCACGTTGGCAGAAATTACATGCTGTCTTCCTGGAAGATCTTAAATGCAGTCAGGTTGAATGTAGAGCGTCAGTGAACCGCCATCTTCAGGTCTCTCCACAGATGTTTTTTGGGGTTCAAGTCAAAGCTTCAGCTGAGCCATTTAGGGACATTCAGAGACATATCCCAAGCCACTCCAGTGTTGTTTTGGCTGTGTGCTTAAGATTGTTGTCATGCTGAATAGTAATTCATCACCATCGGATGACAAGCATTAGGAAGAGTCCTGGTGTTTCTGTACTTCGTCCACTTCACTATGATGGAGCCTGCTGTGCTCCTGGGAAATGGTTTTGCACCCTCACCCAGACATATGCCTCGACACCAATTGATCGTCGAGGACCACAGACAGCTCCTTGGACTCTGTGGATTCGTTTTTGGTCTGAAAAGCCCTGTGAATTGCGAGATCCTCTAAAATCATCTTCAATCATATGAATTTGCCACAGGAGAACAACAATTAAGCTCATGTTGACTGTTGACTCATTCACTACTCACTATACAGTAGGCCCCTTAATAGTTTATTGTAGAGTGAGTCGTAAATTGAGATTTTGACACTTCATGAGTTATCCTCATTTTGCATCATCAACAGGTGTAGTGTCGCACCGTTATAATTTTTCTGTAAAACGCTCTAGGGGGTTGCTGCAGTAGTGTCCATGCCATTGTTCAATTGGCCTTTGTCCCACCACTTATAACTGATAACTAATGACATTAAAAATGGCTCAGAGCAGTGTGACACTATGCACAATAACAGGACCCCAGAATTGAAGTAGCTAAATGGAATTCAGCCATCATTCATTGTATTATTTACACCTGCTTTTTTAATGGTGACATGATAAAAAGTCTCCTGTAAAAATAATTTTTAAAAAGGCCTACTGTATTATTTTTAGGGCACTACATAGCTTATACATTTCAAATTCAAAATTAGGACACAAATCGTATGGACAGACTATTTGATGTGGTAGGGGCTGAAAGGGGATTTCAGACAAGGCCTTATCAGTGATAATCAGGCGCACCAAGGGATATGTAAATGAGAAATATAATTTTCTGAAATGTTTAATAATTTTGCTCAAAAAACCCTCTAAAAACATGTTTTCACTTTGTCATTGTGTGTAGATTGACTGCAAAAAGCTAATTTAATTTGAAATTATAACTATAAACTGTCTGAACTCTTCCCAACGCCATCGTACAGCGTGTAATAACAAGTTAGTATGTTAGATAAGGTAAGAAAATCTGAAGTTTTTTAGATTTTAATCACAATGTACTGCCTGGTGATGGCTATTCAAACTGAAATAATTGAGTATTCATAATTTCAAAGCCACGGTAAGAAAGACACATGTAAAACCTAAACCTTTATCTTCTATTATCATCAACAGCATTAAATCAGTGTGACTGTATCAGAGGAGCCGCATGCTTTGACACCTGTCATCCTGAGCATCAGCACCATCGGTGGGTTTGGTGTCATCTATCACATGGCCTCCTATGGCTCGATGCTAATGATTATAGCTACTGCTGCTGTAAGTAACGCGACATTACCGTGTTATTAATGCACAAACAGGTAGCGGGCAGTGTAGCTTCCCTCGCTGCTAAAGCATTTCGGATAAATATGTCCGGTTAGCTAGGGAGCACTCATGTTATTTCCAGCCGCTTTGTGCAGCACACAGCTCACTGCCACTCCAGAAGCTACATATGCTAATTACGAGGCTACGGCTAGCGAAAAGGACAGTGTGGCTGCTTGAGGATCATTTCCATCCTTACCAAATTGAATTCTTTATTTTGAACTGTAACGCGTTTGCCTCGGGCCCCTGGAGTCCTGGCACCAGCGCTGGAAGAGAGCCTAATCCCGAGGCAGGCTTCTGACCAGGTTGTTGTTGATCATCAGCCATCACGGTGGAGGGGTGGTGGGGGAGCTTTAACAAGTAGGCCTCATCCCCGGCTGTGCAATGCACCGGACCCACCGCTGCTGGAGCGGCTCAGTCAGCTAGGACAGCCCGCTGAATCCACCACAGAGCATGGCTACAAACACTGTGATCTGACCCTCGCAAAACACAAAACTAAACAAAAAATACCACCCGGGAATACAAAAGGCATTTCGCAGAGGTCTCTCTCCTCTGCCGCAAATAGCACGCCTGCAGCAGCCAGCAGCAGCTACAGACGAGCTGCCTGCGTTAAGGTACACGCACGTAGCGCAGACGAGCCCGGAAGTAAGAGGGAGTTAGCCTTCGACATAAAAGAATGCCATTTGCCATGTTTAGAGGATATGTTCACAGTCTGAAAACAATACTCCCATGCCCAGATGTTTATATATAATTTCTGCTGTTTCCCACTGGCCATTAAAAGATCCCTTCCTAACATGCTTACAACGGAAGTACTCCTAATGGGGGACAAAAACCACAGTCCTCGCTCTATGCAAAAATATATTCCAAAATTAATCTGAAGTTAAATGACTCTGAATAAATCAAAACAAGTTGGTGTCTTCCACTGTTACAGTCTTGGACAGAATGCCCTCTTTGTGTTTTACGCAGACAGTGTTTCCCTCAGGATAGTAACACAAGAGGGAATTTCGTGCTGCAGAAGACTCATATTATGAATGTATTTTTGCAGAGAACAAGTACTGTCGATTTTGTACCCCCATCACTTACACTGGGAGCACCTCAGGAATCAGAATCAGAATCAGAATACTTTATTGATCCCCAAGGTTGAAATTCTTTGTTACAGATACTCACAAGGCATACAAGGAATAGAAGTAATAGTAGAAGTTGGTAAAGTAGAGAATATATAAAAATCTGAGAATATAGTAATAAATGATAAATGTGGAAATTTATAGTATTATACAGTATTAACAAAGGTGTAATGATAAATAGTATCATAGAGCAGTATTGTACAGTATTGACAGAAGTGTAATGATAAATAGCAGAAGGGATCTTTTAGGTAGGATTACAGCAAGCAAAAACGTTTTTCATGTACATGTGGGCATGTGAGTATTGTGTTAAGACAGAGTTGATGTTAAACCTATACAGAGTATTTCAGTTTATATTGTTACTTTTTAATAAATCCAATTACGTCAAACTAATTGTCATATAGGGAACCTGGGGCATTTGGTTGGGCAATTTTTCTACATATCAGAGAAAAATATTGGAACTTTTTCTCCTCTATATTTTGTTTAACCGATATAACCTAGATAAACTACTAGTAATTAGAAAATCATCATCAATCAACAACTATTTAGATAATCACTTAATTGTTTAAGAACATTCTCAATGATTCTATCTCCTCCTTCTTGGTCTTCTATTATATTTAATTGTTTGGTTACCCTGTGGTGGTCGGATTAAAGAAGCAATGACAACATAGACAGGATCCAGTCTTGCTTCTATAGTTTTAAAGCTCATTGTATTAATAGTACTTGCTGATAATACTTCTGTAAAGACTATTTTCACATAGCATTGCTACTTTTGCACAAGTAAATCATCTGGTTTGCTTCTTCTGCCACTGGGTGTGCACATGTGGAATTGTATCTGAACATAGACATCATTAGTGTCAAATTGTGGTGGGATGTGGCAGCTCTGGCAAATCTCAAATACTCTCAATAAAATGTAATTTCTGTACAATTCTGTTCTCTCTGTATTTTGTATGCTGCTATAGCTTGCTGTGCTGTGCACCAATGTCATATGTGACTGGAAAAAGACAAGAGACAGAGGTTGGTTGGCTGACATTTCAAGCAAACATGATTAATTTCACCAACCTTATGCTCTCGTCAGACTACTGTCCTTTTTCAACCAATACTCCCAGGAAGTAAAGGAACTCCCGGGAACCAAATTCAGAATCTAAATGTTCAAATCATGTCAAACAAGGACTGTTTCAAATCACAGCTGAAATGATTAGTTGAATAAGTCCATTTAGTTACTTTTTCAAGCAAATATCATAGCATATGTTATCTTATCTTAACCTTTGTTACTGTATCTTGGTCATATATGGTTGTAAACCGAATATCTTTGTTAGTTTGGACAAAGCAACATTTTATATTTTATCTTGGACATTTTATAGACAAAAGGATTAATAAATAATATCAATATCATATCATGAAAAATAATTCTCATGTTACAATAAGAAACATACTCATTAGTTGCAGCCCTATTTGAAAGTAAATCCTTGCGTTTCATTTTCACTGGTAAGATAAATAAACAGGATAAATAAAAAGGAAAGTGTCCACTGGAGTCACAAAATACATAAATACATACATCCCTGTCTCGTTGTTTTCTAAACGTGTGCATGTCATTTTAACAGAGTTTTAATTTTTAAATCCTGACAGGGGTTTCATTGTGTCTCCTGTAACTTGACGCTGGCCTGTGCACTGCAGTTCCGCTGTCAGTCGGCAGGGGTGCTGCTGCAGGAAGCTGGTTGATCAGATAGTGACAATGACGGGTAAACAGCCAGTATGATATCACCTCACCATGTAAACCGGTCATTTACCAGCGCGTGCAATAATCTCGATATCTACCATAATATTTCTATCGAATAATGATTTGATCTGATCCCACTCTCGCTCAAGAAATGCCGAAACACCAAACAGGCTTCATAGCCAGATTGTTCCAAGATTTGTCTTTGCTCATCACACAGTTTACTATTTTTTCCTTCAGCTGAAACCTGAGACACAGCTGGCGGGAAAAAATAACCTGAGAGGATGAATTGGATGGAGACTGTCTGTACCAGGTATATAAATATAACGTTCACTTATGTCGCATCACTAAACCTGCTGTAAATTACGCATGTCCAGTTAGTTTGAATATAATTACTATTTTTAACCAGCAAATAATTACTGATGGTCTATATATGCCCTTTATGAAAATATTAATGTGAAAATTCAAAAAGAACTGAGCCACCAGGTCAAGAAAAACAAGACCCAAATAAATTCTTTCATCATTAATTATTTTATGCTGCCATCTGTTGATGGAAACAGGTAATGTTACTCTACTGCTCCGCTGACACCATGGTCATGAAACATAATGCAAGACAGCAATAGACTCAGACACACATGGGAAAGGCATGTATGTGCAAGTATACAGTAACTTGGATGACTTCATACCTCTCAAGATAAGAATAACAGGAACAAGAAGAAGTAGGGCCACTTGGTTTCTGTTTGTTTGCAGGGCTTGACGTTGCTCTGCTCCAGTTTTGTTTGCACGTGTTGATTTAATGTCTCTTAGCACAGTTTGTGACTGCCTTTCTGTTTGTTCTTTGCAGTGACTACACCTTTTTTCAGTACACATAATTTGATAATGTCATGACATGATATGAAGAGTCAGAGTCCCAAGTCAGACATCACGGTATACAGAAAATAGTTGACTACTGGTTGACTACCTTATCTCACTGTTACAGAGCTAAGTGTGTGTGGGTGTGGGAATGTCTCTGCAGGCACTAATGTTTCTCAATATTGTAACCCCCTTTATATTTTGGATAGCTGTCTCAGTTTTTGTGACAGCACCTATGAAACATTTTGGCCAATATTAATGTTTCACTGACATATCATGATGGCAAAAGCATATACACTCTTATGCACTGATACATTGTGAATGTATGAATGGTAAAGCTTTACATTTTTGCAGCATCTTCAGTAATTTGATCTTACACAATGTAATGATATAAATAAAAGGACGTATTAAAATGCTTGTAATCCAAAAGAGATACACGATGTACTAAAAACTGAGTATTTGCACATTAACAACCCTGGAATATTTTAGAATGAGGAAAATGTATTGGGTCCCCCAATGATTAGTTATTTCTTTGAAACCTGTGTTGGAAAATGTATCCATTGTATTTGTAATTTGTTTTCTGGAAACCCCTTTTGAGTAAAAAAGAAGAGCAGCTTTGTAAAGTTGTAGGATTATATTGTTAATTTTAGTGTGAAAGACAAAGATGCAATTGGCTGTTTTGGGAACAGGAATTGCAAAACATGTTCTCATATACTTAACAGGCAAATGCTTCAATTATGATCAGAGGGCCAAAGTGTCTCCTGTTTATATGCTGGTGTAATTTGATGAAATAGATCTTTTCTTCAGCATTTAGATAGCCCTGAAACATTCTCTGTCTTTCCACAACGTATCACACACATCCATCAAACCTTGTCATTTGCTGGCTTGTTAACAACACCGGAGGTGTGGAACAGTGACACTTCATCTAAATCTCAAGAAAATGTTGTTTCCTTATTAGTCATTGTTTTCTCACTCTATTTTTGACATTCGGTTGCTGGCTATTCTGGACTGATTTATTTCACTGTCAATCTCCTGTCACTTTTGATTTGGGTTGGAAGAGCTCATGTCAGCAGTCTTTGCCCTTGCTCATTCCTCCAAATGTTAAGATTTACACAACACTCCTTCAAAAGTTGCTGCCATTTTTATGGATATTTTAAATACACAGTTACAATTTACAATATCTCCTCACTGTAGCCTACTTAGCTCTGAGTCAGGTGCCGGCGTATGTTGCTTGATTATTAAATCAATCAATCTAAGACAAAATATGACTTTTTAGATGAAATATTTCATATTATGCTGTGCAGTATTTACCAAACACATGTAAGTTAATTTAAAGGGATTACTTGATATACTTAAAATATGAAGACATTTCAATATTCAGAGAAATATATAAAGATAAAGCTGACAAGGACCATCCAGTCTGGATGAAGAGCCCGACAATGCTTTATTTTTTCAGATCATTTTATTTCACTAGAAAGTCATTAAAGCTAATATTCTTTAAATTTTGTTGTTGTAGCCTAAAATATATAGTAGGCACTTATTTCCCTCAGACCCCACTTATTTTGTTCGTTGTGGAGTTTTGATTTCATGACATGCTCCCTGGAAGTCGAGCAGGTCACACATTAGACTGGCAGTGTCCTAAAGCCACCCGTCTCCTCCTTGCATGTTACGCTGAATGTGGGACAGCGAGGTCACCGTGATGGAGAGGTTGGTGAGTCTGGCCCTCACGTGCACCGTGTAGCCATGGCTGCTCCAATCCTCTTACAACCCCCACGTCTTGTAGCACTCAGGCCAGACTATAAGATCAGCTTGCTGTGGTCAGGTCTTATCCCGCATATACAGTAGATCCTCAATACGTTGTCACGCCAGCAGGTATCAAACACCAGAGCCAACCCGCTGACCTCGGTATAGTAGGCCTGTTTGCTTTTAAGATGCATTCACTGACATGTCGTCTAAAGGGAATTATTTACATATTTGCTGTATGAACTGCTTTGGCATAATCAAAATACTGTTTTGGAAATTTAAATTCAAAACATTTAAACTTTTTTACAATACTGGTAAACCAGGAGTTTGAGGTTGAGTTGTGTTTTTCAAGGCCAGACATGTTCTCATCACAGTGACATCATACAGTCGATGTATATAATGTACAGTACAAACCAGACCATTTTTATTTGTATGGTAAAGCACTGCTCAGCACTACTTCTAATTTAGGTGCTCATCCAAGTGATAAGAAAGTAACTAGAGCTGAAATTATTTGTCAATAAGTTCATTGATAGAAAATTAACTGGCAAATATTTTGTTAATAGATCAATTGTTTCAATCATGTTTTAAGCAAAAACACCAAACATTTGATCGTTCCAGCTGTTAAATTGTAAGAATTTGCTTCTTTTTCATTATACATGATAGAAAACTGAATAGCTTTGTGTTTTGGATGTTTTTTTGTTGATATTGCTTAGGAACTTTGGGTTATGTTAAATAACAATAGGAATTTATAGTATTTCCTGAAATTCTATGGGCAAAACAATGAATTGATTAATTGAAAACGAATTTAAATGAATAATGAAACAGAATGTAAGGTATAACCCTAAAAGTAAACAAACAAACTGTCATATTTCTGTAAAAGCGGAACCTATCTGGGTGGAGTCCTGTAAAACTGTGAGAGGCGAAAGTATTCACTGTGTGCTTGCAGTCAGGAAAATGTTTTGTCATTTTACAACGCAAATACTGTCAGCAGATCCAAAAATAACACTGTCAAGGCTTTTGTTCACTTTTCTTTTAGTTTATTAGTTCAGCAGGGTGAAATGTTGGGAGTCCCTGGCTTTGACGTCACTTACACCACCTATCCCAGGCCGGGCTGTTATTGCAGATTTTACACTGTTTTTTTTCTCCTCCTTTTTCTTGGCATCCTGTGGAAGAGCGGATGGGAAATTCTGATGTCATCAACCTTGGCACAGCAGGACAGAGGAGCATGCAGACCCTCAGGGTGCCACGATTGGTGCCCATGTGTTTGTGCCCTGTAGATGGTGAAATAGATGGTGTGGTGCTGCCCGCCTGTGCTGCACCTGCGTCCCAGCATGCTGATTGATCAGTTTGGTCATGTGGAATGTCACCATCTGCTCCCCTGTCCCACTCACCCCTTCTTGTGTGAATGCCAATCACTGGCAGGAAGATAGTTATTTAAGCCATGTCAAATCAGGCGCATGACGATGAGCAATATGCCAACAACACTTGAAATGTGTGTTGCAGGCATCGTATGCACAACAGCGTATCTTACAGTAAAAGGGCAACTGTGACTTCAGACTGCAAAAGGGTATCTTTTACTTTTGTACCTATTGGTTAGCCACGTCAGTATCATTTTTTCCCTTACAGAATATAATCAGAATTTGTGCAACTCTTGTTGCAAAAATTTTATTTGATAATTGAGGCTTGCAATGATTGCGTGTGAGTGTGTTTGTATTTGTTTGCATATAAAAGTCTTTCTATTTCCTGCCTTTTATTTGGAGCACAGCTCCTTATTTATTTCTCCTCCATCCCCTTTGGTTGCTCTTTTTTGGACTCTTAATGGCCAACAACGTATCAGGGGGCCATCAGGAGTGACATTCTTCATTGTAGAGCGTCATAACCAATGACATTTCAACCATGGGAAAATAAAGATATGCAAATTTGAACTCATTAACATTTGCATTACCTGTTTGAATAATCGCACTCTTGACAAGACTGCAATTAACTAAGATTGATGCAAAGTTCAGGGTTAGGGGACTGTATATATTTGCTCTTGGATCATTTACCCAATATGTGTGTGTGTGTGTATTTGAGTGTAATGCCTGATTAGTGTGTCAGATAGGGAAACTGATTTCTGTCAAAAAAAAGGTCATTCAGTAGCCACTGGTGTTCCTAGATTATTATTTTGTTCATTTTGGCCTCAAGACACCTAAATTAAGAACATTGCATCTTTATTACCTGTATCTTAACTTAAAAAGAGAAAAATTATCTATCTTTTCTTAAAAAAGAAAGAAAGAAGGAAAGGTCCACAAATCATTGTTCTGATGAAGATGAAGACACTGACCTCCTAACCCAGTTTACACTTGCGTGGATAGTCAGGATTAGACTTTGACTTTAAGGAGACTGCACGAACAACACAGCTCACCTTCAGACGGATTGAAACCAGCAATACTTTGTTTTTCTGCACTCAGATCAGTTTGTAAAAGTTTCTACCAGCAGTAAGTGCTCTCATTATTGCGGTCCTGTTGTTTAAAAATCAGTTTTCTAATTATTGAGTGGATAGCTTGCTTAACAACATCAGTTCTTTAAATGCAAATATATGTTGATTATTTTTAAAATACACAAACTGTACATTAAAAGTCATACATGGGGAAACTACAGCATACATATAGATAAAGATTTAATATGAATAGATGTTATGGAAAGATTTCAAAGCATTGTTGGTTTGGCCACATTACACACAGTCCCATTTGGCTTCAGTGTAAATACTGAAGGGTTAGTAAGCCAGTGTGTATAAGATAGATAGTATAAGACTTCTCTGGGAATTATTTGATTGAATTCTTGTCTCTGTAGGACAAAATGCCTTGCCAGGGCATTGTGGCTCACTGCAATGTTTTCCCTCTATGGTGACTCGTATTTATGTAACATACAGAGAATACTGCACAAAAAACGGCAGGCCAGCTCCTTGTACTACTGTTGTTACTGATTGGTTTGTTTTCAGATGCAGCGGGTCACTGTCAATTTCAGCACCAAGGCAGCAGTCAGTGGATTTTACCTCACACAGGAAGTCTGACTGTTTAGGTGTTTTGGTTAGCACATCACCCAGACAGACTACTGTAAAAATAAACTTTAACCCAGCCTCTGGAGCAGCTTGACACGCCGCACGTGCTTACTCACTAATACTTTGTTCTATTTGTAAATGTAGGTCAGACAGGGGTGTGGTATCCTCTGTTTACTGGAAACCTTTACCTGGCTAACAGGAGATGATCTTTATGGCATCATCACTCCTTGATGGAGGGATTTCTGAGCTTGCTAGCATGTGATTTTATACTATATATAGGAATAGGATTACAGCTGAACAACAACATTTATAGCCCACACTGGCAATGTTTTTTCCCACTCTTTACTCTGGTGTGGTCAAGGTGTTTTGTCATGCGTGGGTGGGGAATTCCCTGATTCCAATTTTCAGTTAATTTCTTGATGCCATCTTGCACAGAAAGGCTCCTTAATAGTGAACACACACAAAACACTAAACACTACAGGGATCATGTTTAATCAATAACTGCATTTTCTAGAATAAATATAAAAAAGGATGCTCATAACATTCTGGACCAAGCTTGTACTACAGTAATAGCATCAACCCTTGGCCACCCCTCTCGTCTGCATAGAATGGTCCAGCCCTTATTTGCATAAGTTGTCTGCGGGTAGCTGCATGACCAGCAGGGGTGGTTAGGGGAAGGAGTGCATGTGGACTACATACACATGAGTAGTGACACGGACAGAGGAGCTGTGTGTGGACTGTATTGTGAGCTTGGAGTCTTGCACTGAACCCGACAAGAGTTATGTACTGTGCTCATCCTGTCTCTGGCACAGGCAACAACTCATTGATGTATTGCTACAACATGAAACCAGTGAGTACATTTCTTCTATTTCTATTTTAAATTCCAGATGAGACGTGATACTGTCAGTGTGTTTGGTGATGATGCTGTTATACTCTTTAGTTGTCTCCTCAGATGTTCTGTTTGTTTGTTGACTTACACAAGGAAACACTTTCCTTTCCAGCTTTGTTTGAACAGTGTGTTCTGTAACTGACATTAACCAAAAATTTCCATCAGTAAGAAATGCATACACTTGTGCAATCCTGTAGTTGTATAATTTTTCTCATTTGGATGTACCTTTTAGTGAGGCATTTTAGAGTTGGTGGAGATGTTTCCTACTCTGCACAGAGCATTTGTTGGGATATAAGGTTGTTTCATCTGACTGGTTTGCATGTGCGTATTTGAGAGGTCATGGCTAGTGTTTTTGCTGAATGTGTCATTGTCACTTCCTTGAAGAGTTGTGTACGGTGTATGATGTGTTTTCTCGTTTGAAACTTCTAGTGGATGCATCTTGCAACTTGAGTTAATGCAGAAACTGAGAGTTTGTGGAACATTTCAGGGTAAAAAATCTCAGTGAGTTGTCCATTTGTCACTAGTTTGTTTGTTTGCTTATTTGGTCTCCCAATAACAGCATTTAAACCAAGTTCACATCAGAATGTAATTCCCTGACTTTAGAAATCATGATTACCCTCAAATCACACAACTTACAACACCTCCACAAGCACAGCACCTAAAAAAATGCCAGCATTCAGTTAGCTCAAACAATAACACCTCACTCACTTGTGGTTTCAGTTTGACAAACTCGTGTTAAAATGCACCGGTGATACTCTTGCTTCCTGTTAGCTAAGCACCATGTAGTCAAGCCTAGCAGCAGAAAACATCTTGACATGAAGCAGATTGCTGCTATTTCTATTTGATTTAACCCTGCTATGTTGGAGCAGTCCCTCCACTGCTGCAGTCATTATCAAAGGCAGCTTTGATCTCTGTGAGACTAACCATATCCAGACATCGTGGATCACAGAGGCAGAAAATTGGTTGCATGTGGCTGGAGTTGGCCATGGTGGAGCACAGCATAGGCCCTGAATAGCAAGTTGATATTTCACTCATCTAGCATGATAATGCTGTGTGTATTTAAGAGAAATCAAGTGTAGCTGTTGTTTTTGTACAAGTTTAGTGCATTTTTGGATTAAGATAACTTTAGAAATGCAACTAATAGATTGTCAAAAGAGACACATGCTGAAAATTATTATTTCAAGCAAATATGAAGGTTTTATAGTATTTCAATTCTCTCTTAGCTGTGGTCTTTACTGAAAAAAGTCCCCTATCATTTGTGATACAATGATTGATGGTTCCTAAATCAATGCTATGCTTAAAGAGGATGCCATGGTGACGGCCCCTCTCCAGCGGGGGCCAGAGAGGGCGTGCTAGGGCGGGGGTGTGACCATTATTAACGGGTCGCCTGCTATGCTGATGGTAAGGAGGACAATTGGCTTTATCCTCCGCCATATGCTGCCCATGGCGGCTCAGACGGGCCCAGTGTCGGCAGGGGCTCCTCTGTTTGGCCTAGCCCACAATCACCATGGGACTCATGCCAGCCAGGGTCACGGCTGCGTGTGTGTGTGCGCGTGTGTGTGTGCGCTTAAGTGCATGTGTGTGTTTGTGTGAGCCCGTGAGTGTGCGTGTACGAGCATACTCAAGAGAGTCTTTAATAGCCTGCTTTACAGAACTTGTCGTCCGGGTAACTGACACCCCATTGATGCTGTGCAGGGAGGTTTATTTTCATTTCCTGGGGCACATCAAAGCAATCGAGGGAGGTGCAGGTGCAGCCCAGACCTCTTGGTGTGTTTGAGTGAGTGAGCATGTGTTGGTGTGTTTTGTGTGCATATGTGCAGTTGCAAGCCTTGTGCTTTACAATAAAAAGAAATCAGCCAAATGTGTCTTTAGTTGAATTCTTAGATCTTTTTGCTATTAAAAATATTTATAGTTTCCTAAAGTGGATCATTAGGGTGAGAGTCAGTTCTCTGTTTGGTTTCTTTTTGAGGACAAAGTATGGAGAAGGCCTGTAATTTAATTTTATTTAGAAAAGCCAGCCCAACCTGATCATGATTAGGGCAGGGATTTCTCATGGTGAATGGTTCCTAAATCCGGATGAGGAGGTGCATGGATCTGCAGCTTATGGATTATCGCAATAGCTCTAAGTGTGCATCAGCTCTCTGCTTTGTTTTTGTAATATTGTTGCTTCAGCTCGCGCTCGCAGTATTCACGCATTTGTGTCAGTAAGATTATCTTGAGTTATACAGACACATAGAAAATCATTGTTTTGTGTACAGAATGTTATGATTCAAAGTTGTTTTCTGACAATGCCTTAAACAAGCTGTTCTCTTTAGGTTTATGGGCAGTCTCCCACTAATGACGACATCAACCACAACTCATCTTTACATCTATCCAACAAGGCCCCCAGCAATGTGTTCGCAAGCACCTTCTTTGGTGAGCTTAAACAATCCAAAATGAATTATCAGTCAATGAATTATCAGACACCATTCACTGTAATAAGAACATTTTGCTTTGGTTGAGTGTTCAGTCAAACTTGTTGTCCCTTTAATATGGTGGCACCTACATGCAAAGACATATAAAACTATACTATATGAGTTTTCAGGGACACCAAAACAGCCATCAAATTCAAGTGTAATCAAACAAACTTATCCCATGAGTACACCAATGACCTGCTTTTCCTTCTTAGATTTCAGTGAAACAGAACAGTGAACAGTGAAATGTTATTAACTGTGTTGGCCTTCTCTTTGTGTATATTCAAGGTTCAAGGTTCAATTTGTTCATCCATAAAATCATGGAAATTGCAGTGCTCCATCCTAATCAAACAATGCTGATTGTAGAGCATAAGAAATAGATACCCATAAAATAAAACAATAGATAAAACAATCAAAATATTAAACGAGCCATGTGTGCAGCTCAGCTTTGAGCAACATGCTAAAAGCAGCATGTTAACATATTCATAATGACTGACTGATGTTTAGCAGTTATCATTTTTTATGCTGTGCGAACCATCTTATTTCATTGT